GACGCTGCCCATGTCTCCCCCCAGTGAGCGCGTCCAGGAGCAGAGCGCCCGCATGCAGCGCTCCTTTATGCTGCAGCAGCTGGGGCTGAGCATCGTGAGCTCAGCCCTCAATTCCAGCCAGAGTGGCGAGGAGCAGCCAGCCCCCATGAGCTCCTCAATGCGCAGTAACCTGGACCAGCGGACACCCTTCCCCATGAGACGCCTTCATAAGCGCAAGCAGTCTGCAGAGGAGCGGGCCAGACAGCGCCTCCGGCCCACCATGGACGAGTCTGCCATTGCTGACGTCACACCGGAGAATGGGCCGTCAGGGGTTCATTCTCGGGAGGAGTTCTTCTCACCTGATTCCCTGAAAATCGTGGATAACCCTAAGGCTGACGGGATGGCCGACAACCAGGAAGACAGTGCCATCATGTTCGACCAGTCTTTTGGTGCTCAAGAAGACGCCCAGGTGCCCAGCCAGTCAGACAATACTGCTGGCAGCATGGCCCAGTTGTCTATGGCCTCCCGTGCGACTCAGGTTGAGACGAGTTTTGAGCAGGAAGCTGCAGCCGAGAAAAGTGGTTTTCAGTGTGAAAATCCCGAGGTTGGCCTTGGAGAGAAGGAACACATGAGAGTGGTGGTTAAATCTGAGCCCCTGAGCTCTCCTGAGCCTCAGGATGAAGTGAGCGATGTGACCTCCCAAGCAGAAGGCAGCGAATCCGTGGAAGTGGAAGGGGTTGTGGTCAGTGCCGAGAAGATAGACCTCAGCCCTGAAAGCAGTGATCGGAGTTTTTCAGATCCCCAGTCTAGCACTGACAGGGTAGGTGACATCCATATTTTGGAAGTCACAAATAACCTAGAACATAAATCCACTTTCAGCATTTCAAATTTTCTTAACAAGGGCAGAGGGAGTAACTTTAGTGCAAATCAGAACAATGATGATAATATCCCAAACACTACTAGTGACTGTAGGCTGGAGGGGGAGGCCCCTTATTTGTTGAGTCCAGAGGCTGGGCCTGCGGGCGGGCCCTCCTCGGCCCCTGGCTCTCATGTGGAGAACCCGTTCAGCGAGCCTGCAGACTCCCATTTTGTCAGGCCTATGCAAGAGGTGATGGGCCTGCCATGCGTGCAGACCTCAGGCTACCAAGGAGGAGAACAGTTTGGGATGGACTTTTCCCGGTCTGGTTTGGGCCTCCACTCCTCCTTCTCCAGGGTCATGATGGGTTCCCCGAGAGGAGGAGCCAGTAACTTTCCATACTACCGACGCATAGCTCCCAAAATGCCAGTTGTAACTTCTGTCAGGAGCTCACAGATCCCAGAAAACTCTGCCAATTCCCAGCTAATGATGAATGCGGCCACGTCCTCATTTGAAAACGGCCATCCTTCGCAGCCCGGCCCTCCGCAGTTGACCAGGGCATCTGCTGATGTCCTGTCCAAGTGCAAGAAGGCCTTATCAGAGCACAACGTCTTGGTTGTAGAGGGGGCTCGCAAGTATGCCTGCAAAATCTGCTGCAAGACTTTTCTGACCTTGACAGATTGCAAGAAGCACATCCGAGTTCACACAGGTGAAAAACCCTACGCCTGCCTCAAGTGCGGCAAGAGGTTCAGTCAGTCCAGCCACCTGTATAAACATTCAAAGACCACGTGCCTGCGCTGGCAGGGCAGCAGTCTCCCCAGCACTTTGCTCTAACCCGGCCGCTCGGCAGCAGGCCGGCGCCAGTCGTCGCCCTGAAGCGGACGGCTCTCGTGGTTGGTGGTAGAGGCCACTGGGCTGGAGGCCTCGGGCCCCCCGATGGCTGGTGCAAATGCCGGTGACTAGCAGCTGGAGGGTACACGCGCGCGGGGCCGTTGGGCTGCGGCCGCATCTCGCAGTGAGATGCGCACTTCAGAGAGGGACGCACTTCAGAGAGGGACGCGCTCCCTGAAACCGAGTTCTTCCTTAGGGTTGAGTACTGCGGTCAGAAAGTAGTTTGTAATTGATGGTGTTAAAAGTGGCACATTTAAAAATTAAAAATCGAAGTGCAAAAAAAATTTTTTTAGCAATTTTTGTAAAACTCTGTGAAGCATTTAAGTACATTTCCTATATCCTCCGAAGGGAATATTATATACCCGTACAGCGCTGCACACCATACTTACGTGTAGCCGGTGGCGATCTTGTGCCTGTCTGAAAGGAAGGCCCTTGGGGACATGCCTGTCCGCCACAAATGCTTTAAAGTGTATCAGGAGCTAGTCCGAGGTACTGTATTTTTAATTTTTGTCTCAACTGCAGTCACAGACACTGCACTTTGATGGTGCTGACACTGGGTCCAGAGCGAGCATTCTCCGGACTGTTAGGTGTACATACTTTTGAAAACATCACTGCTGGATAGATGTTTTAACAACTTTTCCTGGTTTTAAAAACACAGTTGTAAATGGAGTATGTACCGTAGGGAGTGGCAAGTAAGGTGTTGTTTCTGTACGTGCTGTTTTAGCAGTATTTTACCCAACCTGTATTACATATGTTACAGTTCCATGTTTGGAAGTCAGAAAAGAGCTAGTGTTTGTCTTTGTTAAATGATGTGGAGTCCTGTTTTGTGGGATCTTTCATGGTGCATCCGCCCTTTGCTCCATCCAGGCTTTGGGGGCCCGTCCAGCCTGACACATCTCACCAGTGACAGGCCCGCTCTCTGCTTTGCTTCTCCGCACTCCTGCCCCGCGTGGCATCTTGTCCAGGCCTGCATTACTGTTTTGTTGCAGACTAACCAAAAACGATGCTAACACGTCTCCACCGTGGGTTGATCACTTTTATATACTATAGTTTTAAAGTCTGGACCCTGAGCTTTTAGCGTTGTTGCCCCAACCCAAGACTGAATGTCTCAAATTGTTTAAAATCCAAACATAGTAGCGGTGTTCCCCGGTAAATATTTTCCAGGCTTTGTAAGAGAGTTGGGCAGCCCGGAGCACGGAAGTCACCGAGTAGCACCGGAGACTGCTGGAGGACACAGTTGGGCCACTGCCCAGGGCCTCCGTGGCCCCCGCCTCGCTTCGCCAGCCCCACCTGCGCCGTCAGGGCTGTCGGCGGCACCTGTGCAAGGCCGAGCCCGGGCTCGTGTGCATCCAGGGCGACAGGTCTTTGGAGAGCTCATGAAGTCAGTTTAATTCATGCATGAACATGAGTTCATTTTTTATACGGCTCTTTCAGAGACACCAAACCATTGTGCGTAAATCGAAAGAAGTCCTTCGGTTCTTATTTAGAACTGTTTAGAAAGCTAAGTACGTGTAGCCTAAAACAATCAGCATGTGTTTTCTCCCCTTACTCTAGTGTGTGCAGTTACACATCTGTCTGTGGATAAACTCACATTGTTCATAGTCAGGCTTAGCATCTCCTATGAACTGATTCCCAGGGAGGAAAGCCAAAAAGGAAACTTCTGTGATTCCTCTCCTTTCCAGCAGACGTGGGAAAGAGACCGTTGGAGGATATGGGATCACGTGTGAAATGCAGTTGTGCATGCGGCTGTTGCTGGAGTCGTGTTCTGACTGGATGTTAGGGGGCTCTTCATCTACCCCTCTGCTTGATGTGGGGACCAGTGTCTTGTGGGGAGATTAACCTTGGGAGGCAGGTGGGTCAAGGCGGAGCACAAGAGAGGCCCTGCCTGGGCCCGGGGAGAGGAGCCAGCAGCACGGGGAAGAGCGGGGGTAGCTCTCTTCCCTTCCATCTTGAGGGGGAGGGGCCGGGAGGCTGCGCCTCACCTCAGCTCAGCCTTAAGTGGACTTTGCTTTAGGGCCTGTCTCTGATAGAGCGCCCGGAGCCTTGCCTCTCCACTGCTAGATGGAATCTGGAATCTCTCATCTACCTCTTAGTCGGTTTCTACATGTGAGAAGCAAGCTTTGGGGCCGGTGTCCTCATACATGCTATAGAACTTAAAAATAATTCAGAGGTTCCCTGCAAAACTAGTCTCAGGGTTCCTGTGATCCGTAGCTTCTACCTGAATTAGAACTGGTTTTGGGTACCTGAATTTTGATTGGTTAGCCTTAATTATAGCCTGGCATAATCATTTCTGGTGATCACATCATAAAGTTCTATCAGGGCACCTACGTCAGTGGTGCTATGCTGGTCAAAATTTGAGATTTTGAAATAAAAAATTTGTCACATTCATGCCTCTAACTAAGTATGTGTTCTTTTTTCTTCGCTTAGGTTATTAAGGTTGAAAGAAAAAAGGGAAGTAGTATGGCTTTCTCTCCTAACCCTGCTTTGACCGGTGCTTTTTTAAAAAACCCAAATCTCCTCCAAAATACTCTTAATGCTGTCAATCACAGTTACGGTCATTGCCCTCAATTCAGTCCCTCCACTCTCCCTGCACTCTGTGTGTCTTTGAGGCAAAGATGTGTGTGCGGTTCTGTTCTCAGCACACCCAGTCCTCCTCTGACAGCCCGCTTCAGCCTGCGCTTTCTGCTGCTCCCTTACCTGCCTGGCTCCCTTACCTGCCTGCCTGCCGGGGTGAAAGCTCCATCTGCCGGCTGGGCTTGGCTGTGGGGAAGAGCCGGAACCGGATTCCCTCGGCAGGAGCGGGGCTTTGGCAATGCACGAGGCCTGGCCTCGGAAGGAGTAAGCCAGGTGGTGATCAGAGCAAGGGCATCCACCTGGGGGACGGGGGTGGCGGAGCGGGGGACAAAGGAGCAAAGTGTGAGGGTGCTGAAATGGATTTTAAAATAAAAATTAAGAAACTCTCCTACCTCCAGTTATTCTTGACCAAAACAATAAGAGTACTCTGACCTTACCTGGTTCTCTTTGCCATGTATATTTAATTAGATGATCTAGGTAGCAGATTTAAGTGCCATGGTCGTCCCATCCCCGGTGAGGGACAAGTGAAGGAGTTGAGATGAGCGGTAAGGTGGTTTGGACAGGTTCTAAAAGTTCACGTGCTGGGGGGGTCGGGGGAGGGCTGGGGGAGAGCAGAACCCACAGGTCACCAGATGCCCTGATTTTAGAAAGGTAAGCAGATGCCCTTGTTAGCTTCTCCCAGTTACAGGCCCACACAGTCTCTCAGAGAACTATTTAATAAGATCACATACTTTTGGCTCAAGAGTTTCCAACCACAAAAGCGGCAAGCCCGTGTATCAGCACCAGTCTCCCTTCTGCAGGATCAGAACAGATGAGACTTTTTTCCTTGGCTTCCGTCCTGTGGGTCCAAGTCCAGCCTGCGCTCACTGACAGACCCCAGGGGCACAGTGGGCCTCCTGGCCCTCAGCGCCTCCTGTCTGGCTACAGCTTGAGTTCACTGGGCATCGGCTCCCCTCGCAGGCCAGCCAGCAAGTTGTTAGCTGCCAACAAGGACATGGTGTTTCGGGTTCCATAGGTGGCGCTGCCAACGTGGGGCAGGATCACTGGAAAGGGGAGGAGAGGGAGGTAAGGGTGTTTCAAGAGCCTTAAAGTGGGCCCTGTTTTCCTGACTAGGGGTTGCAGGGAGAAGAATAAAGAGAACCTGCCTTAGTATTCTTTGATTCGCCTTCCTGTCATTTGTCTTTGATTTGCCTACTGTCCTTACGTGCTCCACTCCTGTGGGGCTGAGGGTTAGGGGAACGGTACAGGGACTCGGGGCTGCTGGAACCCAGACGCAAGGGTGGCAAGAGATTCGGATCCTAAATACGAGGATGTCGAGCCCAGAAGGGGTCTTGGAGCCTATCTAGACAAAGCCCTTCAGATACCAGACGGTGAAACCAGGCGCCAGTTCAGCTTAGAAGTTGCAGCACTGATCGTCCACACCACACCCATGCCCCTGAAAGTGGTGCCACAGGGCGTCTGATCTACACAAATAACTACAAGATGAAAGGGCGGACAGACCAGCTCCCTCTGGCCCCCCTGCAGAGCAAGTAAGGTCACTTGTCCCCAAAGAAGGCCTTTCGAAAGCAGCATCCAGGGCACTGAGCTGCACTGCCAGGCCTGCGGGGATGGGACCGTTCCAGCTGTGGGCAACAGCCCAGACGGGACAGCCAACGCTCCTCCTTTCCTCCTGGTGCGGATGGTGGGCACAGTGGAGTTTCCAAGGGCTACAATAATGGGGGCCTTCCCTGTGGGGTTCCATCCTAGAGTGTACATAAAGGACAGGGACTGGCTCAGCCCCTACAGTTACGTAAGAGCCTGGAGACAGCAAGCACACCAGCTACCTGGACAGACAGAACTTTATATAAAGAGCTGTTAACCAGGCACAAAGTAACTGGGGAGGCTAAGAAGCAACCACTGAGGCAGCGCTTCTCCAAGTGCGGCCCTCGGCCCCGCAGCATTGGTGCTCAGGACGCCCCTCCCCTGTGTCGCAGCGTGCCAGTGTCACCAACAGCCTCAACAAGCACGGTCCCAGATGTGCCCCCCTGTGCTCGGTACTGCTCAGGGTAGCTCTGCACCCAGCACCTCCAGACCACCTCTAACTCCCGCGGGCCCAGGTGACTGCATCGGAAAGTCAGTTCTCACCACAGTTCTTCAGGGTCAGGAGAGGGTGGTCTGTAGGCAGCGGTTCTGGGGTCGTCACATCCAGTCCAGCAGCTGCAATCTGCCCGCTAGTCAAGGCCTGGTACAGGTCGTCCTGGTTCACCACGTCTCCCCTGGGAAGGACAGTGGTGCCGTGGATGCCCCCACGCTCCCTCCACCCAGGCCTCCTCCCACGGAATGGATTTCCCCGCGGACCAGGCACACTGGGCACTGACTTTGAAAGCAGTAAGGCTGATAAGCTGCTACTTCTTTTTTTTTTTTTTTAAAGATTTTATTGATTTATTTGAGAGAGAGAGAGAGAGC